AAAAAGTCAAAGAGTTGGTGATATAGAGAGCACATCCATTACATAAATAGGTCAAAAGATTGTGAATGTTTTTGTTGAGTTTACAAGAAACATTCTGTATTATTTTCTAGACTGACCCATACTTTTGATGAAATAAGAAAACTGTGGTGATTATAAAATGTATCTAAGAGTCTAAATTATAACAGAAAATCACCAAGTTCCCAAGTGACATGTTAACATGATTGTGTCTTCCTCCTCAGATACAAAAAAGAACTACAGCGATTAAAAAGGTACGAAAATCCAGAAGTTTGAGATGCAAAAAAAAATAAAATTGAATTTCAGAATTTTTCTGTTGTATAACTTAAAAAAATACAGAAATCATTATTTATTTGTTCTATTTCTATAAAAATATTATTTAAGGATTAAAATTATTATACCCTTAATTAGGTTAATTTAATCACTTTACTTATAAATAAGTGTAGTTTTCAAAAATTAAAAAATGTGGTGTAGTTTTCAAAATATATTCTCATTTGAGGGTATTTTTCCAAAACTTCCCTGAAAAGCAAGACTCTATATAAGTTGACCATAAATAAAATCAATTGATAGTTTTTTAAAAAGAATTTTTTAAGAATAATTAATATTAAAAGTTTTAGGATTAGTTAGTTTTTAGTGGTATAACCGTATAAGATGTGGCTAAAATATTATTTGAAGGGTTAGTTCTTATCAGTAATCAACTTTAGTAAAATAGATATTCTTATTTCTAAAGATAAGGCAAACGGGATTTGCAAGTTTAAATGTAGATTGTGTTAGTTGTATTCTTCTTTGATGATTGCATAATAATAGGAAAGTATCTAGCAATGTTATTAATTTTTGGGATAGATGAAGTTTAATTTGTTTTGAATAGTGCACATGTAATATATAATGATAATAACTACCCGAAGTTCTTTTCAATATATGTTCAATTTTATACATGATTTATGAGTCTTAATACATACATTAAAATGCATGTAACCAATGTTGCTTATATTCCACGGTTTGGATATATATACACGTAACAATTCTTATCCATGATATATATTGGATTGAAATTCGATGGTTAAGTATTTACCCAATTAGTTTTTATGTCGTGTATATGGAACTATATATAATTTTGTTTTGATCTTGCAGACCCCTAACCAATGAATATTTCTTATCAAAAGTTAAAACACTTGTTTTTATTTGTGTTGGCCAAATTAAACCGAGACATATTGGTTAACAAACCACGTGATTTTAGTTTCATTATGTTGTGTAACACATAAATTTATTAGGCATAATTACGTAAGTTTAAAACGATAATGTATAAAATCATTGGCATTCTAAGGTAATTATTATGGAAAACTTATGGTTAAATACTAAATGTACTTCAATTTTAATATATTAGATAGATTAGATATTTGATGCGTCCAAACTTATTTGGATTTTGTGGATGTGTTTCCGATTCTTTCCACGTGAATAAAGAAATACAATTACCACTTATGCATTCCACTTTTATATGGGCTGAATTGATATACATACGTTAGATTATAAAATACCAACACAAGGTTTCTTACGAAACAAACACTTTGTTGTTATAAACCATAGAAAGTCAACTGTATATATTAATCGTAATGTTCTAATTTAATCATTTCTTAATAAAAAATTCATTTAAAAGGTACTACACCTCCATTATATTTTCAAACTTGAAATACGTATTCTCCAAAAAATGTAATTAGAAAACACTTTTCCAGAGTGTATATTGTTGCAGATAAAAAAGCTTTTAAAAGATTTTTACCTATGATTCTGCAACAATATACACGGAATATTTATAACGGTATGTATAAGGAATATTTGGGACATCAAATAAGCAAAATCTTATTATAAAACAATTTTCCAAAATTAACAAAAATATATATACATCTTCCAATCTATGTATCTTATTACAGTTTATAGTTTCTTTAAACAATTCTTAAGAATGAAGGCCATTAATTAAAATATTATGTTTTACAGTTACATTTCCCGTGCATCACATTCCTCAAAGAAGCCACCAACTACAAGAAGGAATTTTAGAGCGCCCTATAACAGTATGTATAAGGACTATTTGGGACATCAAAAATCACATACCAGGCAATACCATAAAATGCACCGGTTTCATATGCTATGACCACCACGTAAACCATATACTACAACTTTTACATATAAATATATATTATTCACAGTTTAGCATATTTTGTTTTTTGTGATCAATTTGTCGACGTTCAGGGCAACTATTGGAAGGTCGGCTCTACTACAGCAATCAGCCAACAACTTCTAGATCTTTAATCGAAGGAGATTCATACGAATTCTCGGGATTTTCCGTTCTAAAAAATAACCATGTACGGAAATTAACACAGCTCCCGTATTTCATTCAAATCGATCAAGAGACAACAATGTCAATGTTACTATCATAGGTCCGATCTTTCCAGGGTGCAGTTTCTCTCCTCAGAATTACAAATGTCTACTGCGCTTAGCCACTACCCCGAACTATTTACCTGGTAAGCCACTCATCAAACTTTCTATAAAAACACATAATTTTTCTATTAACCACAAACAAAATATTGTGTAAATGTCGTCGGGCATATACTAGTAATGCATGAGATAAAACCCCACAACCCAGAAACGACCAAAAAGTTCACAATTGGTTTAATGCTGAACAACTCAAAATTGGTTAAGCTGGTGTTATGGGACAACCCAGCGGGAGAGTTTAGTATCCTACAAAGCAAGAAGGATAGGAAATTCAAAGTCATCATCATCACAAGCATAATACCAAAAAAATTTTAAGGTAAATAATTTATTTTTAAAAACATATAAAGAACATTAATTTTTTCTAACCATGCCCTAAAAAAAATTATTTGCAGGTAAACTAGAACTCGCTTCATCACCAGCAACAAATGTCTACTTCAACAAATCAATCAGACACATTAAGAATTACAGAGGACGGATAAAAAATAAACAACATCCATAAGAAGAAAACTCCAGCCATCAACCATTACTTTCTTACTTCCTTTCTCAAATCCACTATCTAATTTTATGCTGTGATTGGCTTTACTTATACTATTTAAAAATAAATTGTCACTCATGTTCTTATCAAACCAACATTTCAATAATAATATATTTTAATTAGAAGAATTATGCTTCTACAATAAATTCGAATGCAAAGAACATTTACCTTTTAGAATAAATGTAAAAAGAAAAATATCACCTTCCCACTTTAGCTTAATTATAAGACAGATAATTGTAAAATAATAAATTAATAGAATTTAGAAAAAAAAATATTTACAGAGATTATAAATTGTCTAATACACATATAAAATATATTATAAATATACATATATATATAATATACATGAAATAAATAAGCCTATTATAAACAAAGGTAAAATTATACACAAAAATATAATAACATAGTCCATAACTGAATAACAGAAAATTTTATTAACTAAATAACCATATTTGACAATTATATTAATTTCATGCTATAACGAATAAAATTTTAAAACTAAAACTATCCCTAAATACCAATGAATTACATAGATAGTAATAATAATAATAATATTCACTTCAAATTTGTTACACAAAAAAAAATTATCACACTACAAAAAATTGGTAAAAATAAAATGAAATATGTGAAAATTTATATCCAAATATAAAAGGATAAATATACGCGCGGAGAAAGAATCGAACATAAACAAATTTACAGAGATTATAAATTGTCTAATACACATATAAAATATATTATAAATATACATATATATATATATATAATATACATGAGATAAATAAGCCTATTATAAACAAAGGTAAAATTATACACAAAAATATAATAACATAGTCCATAACTGAATAACAGAAAAATTTATTAACTAAATAACCATGTTTGACAATTATATTAATTTCTGCTATAACAAATAAAATTTTAAAACTAAAACTATCCCTAAATACCAATGAATTACATAGATAATAATAATAATAATATTCACTTCAAATTTGTTACAAAAAAAATTATCACACTACAAAAAATTGGTAAAATAAAATGAAATATGTGAAAATTTATATCCAAATAAAAAAGGATAAATATACGCGCAGAGAAAGAATCTAGTTTTATTAAAGAACATAAACAAACTTTATCATTACAAAATGAATTTGAAGAAATTAAATTACTATATTCTATGACTTTAGAAAAATATAAAGGAAAAAACTTTAATTATATTCATTTCGGATTAATACAAATGGCAATCAAACATTTGTCTATGAGAGAGATTGATTCTCCAATACTTATGTTATTAAGGGATAAAACTCTACTAAAATTTATAAACTCCTTATTATGAGCTATTTAAACAAATTTATGTAATGAAATTGTATATCAGAAAAAGAAGATCTTGGGTAAAAAGAACTAATTCTTAATGAAGATGATTTTCTAAAAATTCCAAATTTTGCATATATATTCATAAAAATAAATATATACTTTGTTTATTAATCAACACTATTTGTTTTATAATAAATTTCATTTACTTATAGTTTTAGATTTTAGTTTTAAAATAAAATGCGTCAATTAAAGTTCAAAACATTTTTATTTCAAATAAAAAAATAAATTGAAAACACTTAGAATAGAAGAATAGTATAAACTAGAAAATAGAAGTTATACTTATGATGTTGTAACAAAAATCGATTATAGAATTTATATTGCTTCATGTATTCTGCCAGTCTTCCATCTTCCATTCACAAGTATATTTCCTAAACATACAAAGAATACAATACAAAACACACACAAATCATATAGTATAGTAAATTCAAATATCTTAATGTAAAACATTCATGTGGCAAAAAAATATTAAATTTTACGTTACATTTCTTATTTTATTTGCAATCAGATAAAAAAATCATTTGTTGTCTTTACCGATTTGCGTTTCTCCCAAATAAAAACCAAAATCAGATCTCACAATTTCTTTTCCCCTCACAGCAACACCATGAAACCACCGACGACGCTGCTCCTCTTCGTCGGAGCTCTTATCTTCTTCTCCGCCGGAAACGTCAGATCCGATGCCTCCGATCATCGTTACAAAGAAGGCGACACTGTCCCTCTCTACGCCAACAAGGTCGGCCCGTTTCACAACCCCAGGTATAACGATCTCTTCTCTACTTCCTCCTCTCTAGGTTTTCAACTCTTAGATCTGAAACTGCCTTAGATTAGAGAAATTGATCGTTGATTACACATGCGATTGCTGTTATTGCGATTACTAGACCTTTGAGATTCGCTTTTAACATCAGATGACTGATTTTAGTTATAGATCTTAGTTTAGATCTGAGATCGAATTGGATTAGAGAATATGATCGTTGAGTATACATGCGATTACTGTAAAAGAGCTTCGATGGATGTTATAACGATTTCGAGACCTCAGGATTCGATTTAATCATCAGATGACTAATTTTACTTATAGATCTTAGCTTAGATCTGAGATTGAATTTGATTAGAGAAGTTGATCGTTGAGTATACATGCGGTTGCTCTAAAAGAGCTGCGATGGATGTTATAGCGATTACGAGACCTTGAGATTCGATTTCGTCATTAGATGACTAATTTTACTTATAGATCTTAGCTTAGATCTGAGATTGAATTTGATTAGAGAACTTGATAGTTGAGTATACATGCGGTTGCTCTAAAAGAGCTGCGATGGATGTTTATTGCGATTACGAGACGTTGAGATACGTTTGATAACTGATTTCACTTGTTTGTGTGTGATGATGATGGTTGCAGTGAGACGTATCGTTACTTCGATCTACCATTCTGTGTTCCAGGTACGAGCAAGATTGATTTCTTCACTGTGAATCTTGAGATCTTATGGACTCACTCAGTGTTGTTTTCTTTTGATCCATTTGTTTTGGCAGAGGGTGTGAAAGATAAGAAGGAAGCTCTTGGTGAAGTTTTGAACGGAGACAGGCTCGTTAGTGCTCCGTATAAGCTTAACTTCAGAGATGAGAAAGACTCTGAGACGTACTGCAAAAAGAAGCTTAGCAGAGAAGAAGTTGAGCAGTTTAGAAGAGCTGTGGAGAAGGATTATTACTTTCAGATGTACTATGATGATCTTCCTATATGGGGATTCATTGGGAAGGTTGAGAAAGAGGGGAAAGCGGATCCGACTGAGTTCAAGTATTACCTTTACAAGCATATTCAGTTTGAGATTTTGTATAACAAGGACAGAGTTATCGAAATCAATGCTAGGATGGATCCTCATTCGCTTGTGGATCTCACTGAGGATAAGGAAGTTGATGCGGAGTTTATGTATACTGTGAAGTGGAAGGAAACAGAGACTCCTTTTGAGAAGAGGATGGATAAGTACGCCATGTCGTCTTCTCTTCCGCATCATTTGGAGATCCATTGGTTTTCGATTATAAACTCTTGTGTTACTGTTCTACTCTTGACTGGTTTCCTTGCGACCATCTTGATGCGGGTACTCAAGAATGATTTCATGAAGTAAGTTGATAAAATGCTGTCTCTTGACTCAACGATGCACATCTCTCTTATTTGATGGTAAACTTGTTTCTCGACTTGTTAAGGTATGCACAAGACGAGGAAGCTGCTGATGATCAAGAGGAAACTGGATGGAAGTACATTCACGGGGATGTGTTCCGGTTCCCAAAGCACAAATCTCTCTTTGCTGCTTCACTCGGTAGTGGGACACAGTTGTTCACTCTGTAAGTCTTCTCATTTCATGCCAATGCGTCTTTTATTGCCGATAACTAACCATATCCCTATATGTCATCAGCACCATATTTATCTTCATGCTTTCACTTGTTGGAGTGTTTTATCCATACAACCGAGGAGCACTCTTCACTGCCTTGGTCGTTATCTACGCTCTCACATCTGGAATCGCTGGATACACTGCCTCCTCTTTCTACTGTCAACTCGAAGGAAAGAACTGGGTAAGTACTAAACACTAAACCCTTCCCCTCAAAATCACTGTTTTTAACTGAAATCTATTAAACATTTCTCATTTAATTTTCTCAGGTGAGGAACTTGTTACTCACTGGAGGTCTCTTCTGTGGCCCATTATTCCTCACCTTCTGCTTCCTAAACACCGTTGCAATCGCATACAGTGCAACAGCCGCTCTTCCCTTCGGAACCATCGTTGTGATCTTCCTTATATGGACACTAGTGACTTCGCCATTACTAGTATTGGGTGGTATCGCCGGTAAAAACAGCAAAGCCGAGTTCCAAGCTCCAGTCCGCACCACTAAGTATCCACGTGAGATCCCACCATTACCATGGTACAGAAGTGCTATACCTCAGATGGCCATGGCTGGTTTCCTTCCTTTCAGTGCCATCTACATTGAGCTATACTACATCTTTGCAAGTGTTTGGGGTCATCGGATCTACACCATTTACAGCATCCTCTTCATCGTCTTCATCATCCTCTTGATCGTTACGGCGTTTATAACCGTTGCCCTGACTTACTTCCAACTCGCCGCTGAAGATCACGAATGGTGGTGGAGGTAAGAAGATGACGTTGCTTCACTTGTATTACATCCTTTGCAGAGATTTTGAATCTTTTGTTAATCTTTATTTGCAGATCATTCCTATGCGGTGGGTCGACTGGTTTGTTTATCTACGCGTACTGCTTATACTATTACTACGCAAGATCAGACATGTCTGGTTTCATGCAAACATCCTTCTTCTTCGGTTACATGGCTTGCATTTGTTACGGGTTCTTCCTCATGCTCGGAACCGTTGGCTTCCGTGCTGCTCTCCTTTTCGTCCGTCACATTTACCGGTCGATTAAATGCGAGTAAAACTGTTGCTGCCAAAACCAACACATTCTCAAAGCTTCACTTGCGATTCTTTTTGGTAGAACAAAGAAGATGAAAAAGAGATCCGTACTTTAGGTAAGTAGATTAAAAGACTTTGTTTTAAAGCCACAAACCAAAACATCAAATGGCTTTTTAAGGTTTTATATTTTCGTAGGGTTATTTTACTACAAATGCTTAAGTTTTTAACTCTTTTAAAGTTTATGTTGAAACTTGTGTTTTGTTTAGGCGAGTCTCTTCAACTATAATGTTTTCTCTCTCTTTTGGGTAATTAGTTAACTACGTTTCATCTATATTGTTTTTCTTTCTTGAGTTCACTACAATAGTACATAATACTAGTTTCAGATAGTACGAGTTAAAACAAATTCAATAAATATCAAAACAGACAGAAACCGAAGAGGAGTAAACGGTATAATAGTAATTAATATTCTTAATAATATAAAAACATAAAAAACAGATTAGTTGAATTTGAATTGTAAATACCTTTGATGTAGTACGAGGAAGAGGGACGCCATGACGGTTCACAGTTTGCAACTTTGCATGCGGCTAGTTTTGGCACAACTTCGGAGTATTAAGAGTGTTTCTTTTTATAAACGAGAGCTTAAATCACAAAACAAAGGTTTGATTAAGCAAAAAAAACTCATGTATCAAACCATTTTGGTGATTTAAACTTTGCTTAATCAGAGTTTTAAGTTGGTGATTTATATGAATGAACACGATATTTGTCTATATATCGCTGGGTTGGCTGAAATATAGTTCGAAATATTTAGAAGCCTTGGGTTCATGATAACTTGTGTCTAGGCCCATGAGGTTTAACACTACATAAAGGCTACATTCGTGGTCGTGGAGAAGATTTTTTTTTTTGTTCAGTAATCATTCCTTGAGCCAAATTTTGTTTACATGAGACATTTCTCTGGAGGAAGACCGTATATAATTTATTAAACAAAAAAGAACGTTTTTGATCCTAATTTTTTCTTTAATGAATTTGTCGAACATTCCTGCTTCTTTAATGAATTTGTCGAACATTCCTGAAGTAGGTTTACACTTTCAAAGTCTCGAATTATAGTTTCAGTTTGGGCTGGGCAATCGGGTCCAATCGGGTTTCGGTTCGGGTTTTCGAGTTCATGAATTTCAGTCTCATTCGGATATTATAAAAATCTGGGTCGGATTCGGTTCGGATTTAATCGGGTTCGGTTCGAGTTTAGTAACATGTCCAAGATCCGGTTGAACCCGAAATAAATCGGTTTCGGATATTAATCGGGTTATCAGTTCTAAAAATACACTATATTTTCAATCATTTTATTAAATTTGTGTATTTAACTTCTATAAATCATATTGTTCTCCTTCAAAACAATATTGTGAAACTCGTATATCAACCATATAAGATTTGTCATTGAACTATATGTGACAACGCTAAACATATCATGATTAATGACAAACCAAAACCTTGTATGACCGAAATATTATACATAATGAAACATAAAAAATTAAAGTTAACAACTAACAATTTTATAAACGTAAGAAGTACAATTTAAACTTAAAAAAACAACATTATATAAACTTCAAAACAAATTTATTCCTAACTTAACTTCAAATGTAATGTCAATCATAAACATTAATATTAACCAAACAATACTATATATTAAACTAAATATTTGAGTAGTGCACAGAGAGAGAAAATGTAGAGAGAGAAAATCCTCTCTGCAAATCTAAGATCTAGATTCAAATTTTGAATCTTTTTCTCTTTGAATACCACCTAAGCAACGTATGAAGAAGAAGAAGATCTTCCCTTTTGAAGCCACCATCTTCGTCTTCGTTTCTCTTATTACTTCAATCTAACACCCATAAGCAACTCACTCTTCTTATGGCTTCGTTGGTAATTTCGTTTTCTTCGTTTCAACTACGCCCTCCGTCGTCTCCGGTTCGACTACGTTCTTCGTCTTCTCCGTTCCGACTCCGTTCTCGGTCTCCTTCTTCGCCACTCCATCCTCCATCTTATCCGTCGCAGATCTATCTTCCATCTCCAGCGTCGCAACTCCATCCTCCTCCCGGTCTGCAGCCGTGTACGCCTCTTCCTGTGCCGCTTGAAGCTCGCTCTCCGCCAGAACCACCAGATCCTCCTGACGCACCCTTGGATCTCCTGAACTTTCTGATTTTAGAAACAGCATTTTCTCAACAGATTTCAGAAACTCCTTATTTGAAATCTGGTTTGTTGAATTTGGGCTTGTGTTCAGTGATGATGTCGTTTCTCTTGTTTATGTTGGTGACACAAGTTGGGTCTCAAAGTGCACGTCTCCTGTAGTATGCAATGTGTCTCTTTGTTGTTGATTCAAAAATGGGTTACTCTATCTCCATCAACATCTATGTCTCTCTTCCTCGTCCATTAACCCAGGTTTTATCTCAGAGTTTTTCTAAGTTACTGTTGGGTGATGAGTTGATATCTTTGGTTTCGTATCTTGGAGACACTTGTAATCTGGCATTGTCTCTCGCCTTGGTGCACCCCTATACTGTTTTATGCAGTTCTACCTTTGTGGTACTCAAGTTCTTCTATGCTTAGCTATGGCAGCTTAATGGACTGTTGCGTCACATATCCATTCCTTATGTGAATTGGGTCATGTTGAACGTTTCCTGTCTGGTTTCCTCCATTAAGGAGTTTGTTATTCTCCCAATTTCATCATCTACTTTATGTGGTTTTGGTGCAGGGAATGTATTGTTGAAGATTAGAGATACTTCTAACACTGAAGTTCTAATCAAAGGCTTTGTAGCCATGTTGAAGATTGTTGATTGTGCACTTGTTGCTGCTTCAATCTCGGGAAGTAGATCACTGATTTTGGTCTTTAATTCCCAAGGCTTCCTTTCACTTTACAGCTTGATGGTCATTGAGATTAGAGGACTTCTTGACGTCATTAGTTGTCTAAGTGTTTTGTATGCCCCTATCCTTCTATGTTGTATTTGCTTCCTTGTAAGAGCTGTTTGTTTAGCCTGGATGGCTTTATTTTCATGTTCAATGTACACTATCTCCATTTATAGAGAGTAAGAATTTATATAAAGTAAGGTTTGATCAGAAAAAAAACTAAATATTTGAGTTAATTATTTATATCATAACTAATTATTGTATGTACTCAATAATATATTAATCTGTTTTGGAAAACATATTAGAAATTTAGATTGGATATGACACAAGTTTTTTTGGAATTTTAAAGTTTCGGATTCTTTCGGATATCCATTTAAGTTCGAGTTCGGTTTGAGTAATATCCATAACCCTAAATACCATAAAACAAGATCCATTCGGTATTTCGGATTCGGATTGGTTTGGTTTCCTTTTTATCGGGTCGGGTTCGGTTCGGATTTTCGGGTTCGGATCGGTTCGGATTTCTTTTTATCGGATCGGATTCTGTTTGGATTTTCGGGTTCGGTTTTTTTACCCAGTCCTAGTTTCAGTGGAGTCAAACTATAAAGTGTATTTACCAAAAAATATAATTTTGTAAGGTAAATATTTTTTTGTGAACATATTTTTGTAAAGGTATTATGTAGTTTTTCTCCTTCGACATTTATAATTGTATAACATAACTGTATAATAAGAGAACAGAAAAAGAGCAGAGAAATATATTATGTCTTAGTCGAATTCACGTGTGATAAGACATCTCAGATGAGGGATGATGGTCCCAACTTTGGGGTAATTTGGTAAATTAATATAACTGAGTAAAGGATGTCGCAGACGCGGGGTATATTTGTCTCTGTGAAACCATACTGCACAGTGCATAATACGACTCAAATTGATTTCTCTTTCCTCTGTAACATCAAAAAGGTAAATAAATAAATTTTGTCTTACTTTCCCTTTTGCTGTTAAGTTTAACTTTTTATTTTCCTTTTAATAAACATTTCCTTGGAGAAAATACCATTCACTAAAATTGATAATAATATACATATTGAATAATTACTATACTATAAATTCTCAAAAGAATATTGTTGTATTTTTGCTTTTTATGTCTCATATTTTGTATTTTGTTTCTTATAGCTAACAATGCCACAATGCATGTTCCATTTCCTGTGTCTCTGACATTTTCTTCAGCCTTATCTCATTTGTGGAAAACAATTTTTGTTTTTATTACCGAACGTAAATTATTTAGTTTACTAACAATAAAGGAAACTTTCAGAAAGGAAACTTTCAGAAAGGAAACTGTAATTTTTTTTTTAAGTATACTTATAAAATATAAACCTTAATAGTTTCGAGAAACAAAAAAAAAAAAAAAGTTTCGAGAAATAAATGCTAATCCAGTTGAATTGTCACATCGTATAAAAGGGTAAAGAGATAAATGAAAGCAAACACATGCTACGTACTACATGCTGGATCATTGATGCATAGATAATACATAATAATTATAAATGGTTTTTGATCAAGATTTTTTCTTATAAATAGTTAAATATTTCACATTAAATTTATAGGTTGAAAGAAAAAAAAAAAAAAAAAAAATTTATAGGTTGATTAGACTTCAGCTTATTTTTTCCGTATAGCATGTTGCTTGTCTTAGCTGAAATTTTTATACTAAAAAAATATTATTGCATTATTAATCAGACAAAACAACGGAAATGGTTAAGTGGAAAATAACAAAGAACAAATTGCGACATGGGCAAACATTATTATCTCAGTACACTCATAGACATAAAGGAAGATGAATAAAAATCTGAAGTTTTAAATATATTCGGAATAAAATAAGATAGGAAATTGCCAAAATCAAATTTACGAGAGCACAAATCAGAACAAAACTGAAAAAGACAAAAAAAATGCCTCAGGTTTCAGTGCAAAACACAGATATGGCAAAGAGAGGGTCCATCTACATAATTGAGAGACTTGCTATTATTAATACTATTTTATACATATTTAAGCAAATAAAGACAAACCTCATCGGTTTTATTTATAATAATTTAATAAATATACAACATATTGGCCAGCTAATATACATCATTTATATTATTATTATTATTTTTTGTCGACATCATTTATATTATTATTATCTTACGAAAAACATACAACACATTTTTGTTTTAATTTTGCTAAAACACTCTAAAGCAGATTTTAGTGAGCAATTAGATACAAATAATCCAATTATACTTTGACATCCCAAAATAATAATTATAAGAAACAGAAGCCAAGCTCGAATTTTCGTAAATGTAACAAAATAAATTGAGCCTTCTGCTTCTAGTTTTTTTTACGAAACACAAACAAATGATTTTAAGTTAGTAGGTGTTTCGAAAAGGAATAAGTTAGTATATCTTCTTCCTTGTTTTTTGAAACACCTGTTAGTATATCTTCTAAAATTGACAAAAAAAGTTTGACCAAAAAAAAAAAAATTGACAAAAAAGTATATCATCTGAAAAAGACGAAAAAACCCCTTGATAAATTGATGTCGATTCATACATCCCATCAAGGAAGTGGGGGGTATATTTGTCATGACATACAAGTGAAGCATATGGTTGTTCCTTTGTGGGAAGTATGAAGCAACTCATGTGATCAGAGACTTTCATGCTAAGCCACTTCCAAATGTAACAACTAAGTACATTAATGATAAATCTATATCGCTCTTAAAGAAAAAATTATTAATGTTAGATTTGGGGCATAATAAAATCTAACAACTAAATAAATTACGAATGGTTGGTAGTATATTTGTTTTTAGAATTACTGTTTGTCATATAGTTGACAAGTAGCCTTGGTATAAATAGTATATCATGTATTTATATGTATTGGATTCTTAGGGTTAACTAAGATATTTTTTTGACATATTATAAGATACATTATTTTCTTTGTTTGGCCTTATTAGATCATTCTTTTAGGGTAGTAATTTACGCATTCACATATTTCACACTAGAAAAAATTATAAAAAGGCGCACCAATCTTGTTTGTACGCTATACGGTTCATTAAAATTATAATATAGTTTTTAAAAAAAAAGATGTGGCTACAAGAACAAAAGTTCCGTTAGGTTAGAAAGATATGCATTTAAAGTTAGAGAAAGAGAGGCACATATGCACATGCTCCTCTAAGATATATCATATGCCATTGTAAGATAAAAAGCTACTCTTTTGGTGCTGCACGTTCCATTGTTCTTGCTTTTTATTTTAATTCAGTTTATAACTCTCTTTTTTTGCTAAAACAGTTTATAACTCTCGCACCAACTTGGTCTTACAGATAATCCAATCAAAAGATCACTTCTTTCGGTGTAACGCATTTATAATTAATAATAATTTCAAAGTACGCTGATTACATGCAAACTGCAATACACACACATACATATATATGAATACATACATATACATTATACATATGGACATAAAGAATCGTTTTAGAAAGGTTTTTGAAGGTGATCTCCATCAATTGATACACATGGTTAAACATGATAACGTACATATGTTTCATCACGAGTATATGACATAATCCATCATTAAATCTATACATATACTGATATACATGCATGCATTATATGGCACACATGACACATGTGTTTGCCCATCGGTATAGAGAAAGCCGAATATGCTCTCTCTATCTCTTTCTACCTCTCTTTCCGTGACGAACATAGCTGCAGAATCTGAAAACCTCTACTCTATGTTGACACAATGATGAAAACGAGAGGAGAGAGAGATGCTTTTAATATGCAATTGAGTGCACTTTAAATGCATATTGAAACAAAAACGCCATTATCTTCAGTGCCATAGAGTTGAAACTGAGTAACGGGCAGGCATTTGTCACTCTCTTATTTACTTAACCCACTTCTTTAGTTCTCTCAGACAAACATTCATGTCATTTCTTATTTATTTCTTCAAGTCATCATTAATAAACTGGTCCCAAAAGATGTACAAAAACCAAACCCACCTCCGATTTTAGATTTTTGTAGTGCTTCTTCAGTCTCATACGCAAAAGGTCGTCTTATTTTGGTATTTTATATTTTTCTTGCTATATATATCATTTAGACTTGCCTTAATCAAACTATTTCTCTTTTGATGTAACGACATTCATTTATTACGTACGTTGATACATCATAGACCTGTCCAATCCAAAATCTTTGGTTACAATTATAAATCACCACTATAATGTATTAATTGACAAATCTAAAATGTATGTATGTATACCAATCAAATGGTTTTCAAACATGTCGCATTATTGTGTGTGTGGCTCTCCGCTCATACATATAACATATATCGACATCGAAGATAAACATTCAAATTTCTATACAATACTAAAAATGCAATGGATTTACTGATCTACATGACATTTTCTAAACATGTTTAGCAACAAAAAAAAAAAAAATTTCTAAACGTAATTGGTACTTGATTGGTTTCTGATAAATTAATAACGCCTGGATAAGTTTTAAATACGATAGTAAAAAACTTATACGTGTATGTTACTGTACATTCTCTATAGATTATAACTAATCCAAATATTTAACTTAAGAATCTCCTGTCTAACTCTACAAAATCAGCTGTAGACTATTTTAAGTATACTTCCCGGTGTTGTGTGAACTCTATAAATATGTATATGTATTTTCTTATAAACTTATGTTTTTTTATTATTGGTACTTGGTAGTAAATAAAATGATCCGGAATAAAAAAAAATAGAAGACAGTAACTGTTTAGCTATAAAGTTTGCTAATAAAAACAAGTGAATATGGGTGGGACTGTTTTATCATGATTATAGATCAACACTTTTTGTCCGAATCTAACGAAAGATGAAACAATGTTTTGATTATGTACCTCGTTATAAGTGTAACGGCCACGGACCAAAACGACATCATAATAGTACATTTCCTATCACTCAAATGTAAACTCGTCCCAAGCAATCATAGCTTACTGACTTTGAATTCAATTTAAAGCTAAATCTTCTCCCCAAACCTAACCATTATTGGCGACATGAAGGTTTTATTAATATGTGACCTTGATTGCTTTGATAAAATTTGAGATATCTCGTTTTAAGCTTCGCGAAAAATATTGTAGACGAAACAAACACAAGTAATAACCATACAAGGGTGGTCGAATGGTGAGGAAGAATTTGGAAATGTGTACTAAACATCACAGGTTCGAAATCTACCATCTCAGATATATTTGATTGTTTGATTAGGTGACATATCTAATTTCCGTTGCGAATAACCAGGTCCATATGTGAACATGTCCAGAAGATTCGTCACTTAGGCGCTCAAGTCTATCTGGTGGACATGTCCAGAAGATTCGTCACTTAGGCGCTGGCCACCGAATACCTCTAGGTTATACAAAAATACACAAATAATTAACTGTATATTCACCAACGCTCTAGATCTGGCCAAGGTTTCCCATGTGAATTTAGGCTAAAATTAAGTACTTCCAACTACGGATGTCCATTATTAGTATATCTTAGCTCTAACTTCGTTAAACACTATGTTCGCCACACTTTTAGTCTTAATACTGTACGTTGGACCAAATATTTACAAGAAGTTTTAATATAACTGATAAATTCACAATTACAATAGTTACCCAATCACATACAATAATATGGTAATACAAAGAGGAAAAAAATTAGACAATGTAATTAATACACAAAACAATCGGATAAAATTTTTCATTTATCTTAGTTTCTTTTTTTTTTAAATAAACCCTTTTCAAAGTCTATGATCCCTCTCCATCAGTATTCGCTGACGACATGTAACTCACCACAAGAGATGTCTCATCCGCGGTAGCCGCCGCAGGAACCGCAACCGCTTGAAACTGTCCTTTACAAGTTTGACAAGTAACTTGCATAATCGTGGAGCTTATCTTCTTCATAGATTGTTCCTTTAAGAGCTTAGCTCTCTCAAGCTCAGCTTGTGCTTGTTGCCTTATCTTCTTAGCATTCACAAACTCATTTTCTGCTATCTCTCGTTGCCTCTTCGCTTCTCTTTTAGCTTCCTCTGCGTAAACTTTCTCCTTCATCGCTATCTTCATTATCTGTTCACTTGCCATTATTTCTTTTATACGATCAAAGTTGTTGTATTGGTAATAAAATGCTGATGGTGCAATGGAGAGGTTTAAGTTTGTGGTATCGTGATGATTACGATGATGAGATGGTTCTTTAACTTTGTGTTGTTGGTTTTCTTGATTAGGGTTTTGATTTTGCGTTAATGGAAGAAGCTGGAGTTCGAGGTTGACATTGTTTCTTATAGGAATTGGACGCCCTTCTAGAGGTAAAGGAGTCGCAACCGCACCGCCGTAATTAGTTTCGGTAGATGGAGTGCTTGCGGTTGAGGCGGTTCTAGAGGAGCAAGCCGGGACAGTCACCGTAGTTTGTGGCGGTGGCGGAGGTTCACGGTGAACTTTTCGTACGGAGCAGTTATCTTGATGTTCAATAAAACTCTCCACCCTAAAAAGGAAAAAAAAACCTATCAATTAAATTATTTTATATGATATAGGGTTATGAAGTGTCAACGTAATTATTATATTGGTAAAGTAATAATTTAATTATTATATTAAGCTTCTTAGTTTAAACCTATGAGATTAATTAGGAGTTATATATAATTATACTATATCAACATGAGTATAGGTTCACTAAAAAGCCTACAATTTGTAAATTTATTTATAGATTGGGGGGGTCAATGTCATTAATCTAATTATTAAGTTTGCTTTTATGTCTCAATGCCAAACACAATAGTCAAGATAAATCTTAGAAAACTGTGATGCATACACATCAATACACAGAATTAGTAAGAATCATGAGGGATAGTCAGATCAAATAGTACTATAAATCGATAAGTATGAATCTTGGTTTTGGTCCCTAGAGAAATTTCTATGTATACTAAAGATATAAAACAAACAGAGCGAAATTACTTGTATTCTAAGCAATTTTACACCTATCATATCGGTCCAAAAGTTTGCATCTTTCATGTATAATAGTATAATAATAATACTAATAATTCATAAGACTGGTCCAAAGTTCAAAAAAGAAGTTGGAATATCTCTGCTTAAAAATCGATTTATAATGAGAAGTACAAGAAATTAAACCTGGAGAAGACGCGACCACAGTCACAAGAATGGCCTCTAGTGCCACAAGTTTTGAGATGAGCTTTGTAATCTGATTGAACAGCATAACCTTTAGAGCATCTCTCACAAACCCATTGCTTATTGTTACTGTGTTTTCTTCTGAAATGTTTTTTTATTCCAACAAGATCTCCAAGAGCATGACAAGGATCGTGGTGAAGACAAGTGGGTTCAGGGCAAACATACACTCGCTTCTTCACCTCTATGTTGTTGTCTCTTTTAAGAAGCTTCCATGGAACCTTGTGACGTCTTCGATGCATCTGGAGATTTTGATCTCTTTGAAACCCTTGGTTACATATCTCACATATGTATCTGTCTGATTCAAGAAGTGTTCTTGGTGATAAAGACACAACCTCTGCATCTGGATCTGAAGAGCAGAAGGAAAGCCCATCAAAACACATGTCTTTAATATGAGATCTTTTTCTACTTTTGAAAATTTGAGATTTGTAATGGGGTTTAAAAGAAAACAATGGTAATTCTTAGTAACTCACCCCCCTCCCATAAACTTGAGAGTGGTAAATAAGAATATTAGAAAAAACTTTAAAATGAAACCATCAAATTAAATGTTTATGACTAATCATAAAAATTTAGTGGGGTTTAAGAGTACCAGGAACCAAGTGATACCCATAACCTTGAAATTGGGAATAAGAACGATAAGAAAAGTTGAAACTTTAAAAGTTAACCTAGCAAAAGAACATGTACAAATGGTTTTAATAGGGTCTTAGAGATAACCAGGAAAACTCAAGAAGACTCATCAGTTAAAATTGGTAATAAAAAAATAAATAAGATTTAAGATTTAAATTTCGGTAGTGGGGATTTATTATTACCTGGTGTACCTGCAGGTCTTCTTTTCCTCTTCTGAGTGGATGTGTCTGTGATGGTGACCCCATTTTCAGAAGAAGAGAGGAGAGGATCATGATCCTTGTTGGAAGCAGCATTCAACATGACTACTGCTCTTTGATCTGTTCTCATCAATGACTACTTTTTTCTTCTATCTTTTTGACTTTATTGTATTTTGGATTTCTAGAGATTGATTTGATGAAACAACGAGACCTAGAGACAAAAGAAGAAGAAAATTTGAAGATAGTGGGAGGTTCAGCTTTACAAAGAAGAGGAAGGACTAATAAAGAGAGAGAAAGAGAAGATATTTGAACAAAAAAAAAAGAGAAAGAGAAGATATATAGGGGGAGAAAAGTTCTTTTAATCAAGCTTTCTGCATCAAAAGCTTTCAAAACTTTTTGTTAGACTCTTCAACGTTCTCTATGTTAAATGATGAAAGCTTTTTCTTGGGTCTCTCTCTATCTCTTTTTTTTTGGAGCAACTCTCTCTCTTATCTCTATGTATGCTGTTTGTTATCATTAACCTTTCTCTCTCGTACACTTGAGAGTTTAGAGCGTCTATGATGCCTATATTGCCTCTGCTTATAAAGCTCATTGCAACGTTCCATCACTATATACATACACTCTGGAGAGAGAGAGGGAGATGTGTTTATTTAGATTTCAATTTAGATTTTTCTTGTTGTTATTTTGTATTTACATTTTAGACTTTTGTTTCTTAGAGTATGTTGCATATATGAAGTTTTGGCTTGGACCCATATCTTGTCTGATTGATGAATTTGTCTGGTTTTCTTGAACTTTCTTCAACTTATTTTTAAAATAATACTTTTATAAGAAATTATATATTTTTGTTATTATCTGCACGAGTTTTTCTAATTAAGATAATATAAATTTCATTAATAAACTAGATCGTTGTGTGAATTTTGTATCTCCGATCCAAAATTGAATCTAAGTTTATCAAGTTATAATGCAGGTTATACGGATTTAAAAGATCAGAAGTTCTATAATATTTGCAAATATTCATATGGCGCTCACTCTTAGATGACGTAAGACATAATTAAATAATAACTAGGTTAACATATTTATAGTTTGATTACGTTTCTGACTGTCACTCTCGAGTCCTATAAATAGTGTGTTTATACATCACTAATATAATTTACGTTCCATTATTGTTAACGCAATCCAATAATATATTGACAAATTTAGATAATTTGTCATTGTTAACTATATATGAATGCTGTGTCATCATTTTTCCAAGGTTGGTCCACAACTACATGACTACATGTTAAGATTCTTTTCGAATTACACTTGGAAACAAAGGAGAAAAAAAAGGTATATGGTTCTTGTGAATAATCCAAGGATATAATTGCATAATTGCAATAAATACCAAATTATATGCGTTTCAATAATGCAGACAAACTAAGTTACAAAAAAAAAGAAAAAATAATGCAGACAAACTATTATTCTCTATTTGGCTTATATATTGGATGTACTACTGCCCATACAGTTAAAATATAAGAGAATAAAATAAAAATAGTAAATGACTGAAGCTAAATCAAAATACATGCATAACAAAATAATTCAAACAAGTATTATTTTATATACGATCAACAGTATAAACTTTATGGGATTCCGATTTAAGCAATATATATATAAGTATTCTACCCCGCACGTGACCTTACGTCTTACGAACGTGACCTTTTCTCCACCCTCCGCAGTCGTTTCTTTTAGACTTTTGCCTTTCTTAAGAGTTCCGCGTCATTTCCTTAGGCAAGTTTCATTAACAGATCTAAAAATGAGGGGAAAAAGTGTTTGACATAAAAATATAATGAACCATATATATGTGTCGGAAGCTTTAGTATGATCACTTTATTAGAATATTTTTTTGTAATCACTAATCTGGTGTTTCTGGAGTGGGGTGAGTCTTCTTCTTGTACTTCTCTTTGTATGGCATCGTTGGAGAAGTAGTTTCTGGTTTGCATTGAAGCATCACTAATTCACTAGGGAGGCCGTATCAGTTAAACAAAACCGTACATTGTTACAATGATCTTTTATAACGTCAAAATCAAAGATTCTCAACTGCTATGATGTGCCCAAATTTTTTCCCTGGATTAGCATCGACTGATTGGTTTATAGTGGATGATGAAAAAGATACCCCAAACTCATTCACTATTCCAGCATCATAGTAACACTAACACCACTGTTATATATGATGTACCCAAAATTTTGTCCCAAATATGATAACTTATTTATAAAAAAAGATTACACACACTATCAAATATGATAGCCTAACTCAATTTATATTATAATAGGTAATTCTTTTGTTAAAGAAAAAAGAAACGATGTCTCAGTATGTTTTTGTCAGTTGCTTAAAATTGGTTTCAAATGGACCGAAAGGCAAAACAAAACCAACAAAACGAAAATAGATGTGACAGAGTTACGGTGACAGCTTTCTATAAAGGAAAAAAACGAGATCGTGTTTGTAATCATTTCCTACGATCAGATTAATCCCCCAAATCTCAGTTAACACTTGCTTAACTCCAACCATTGTTTGAATGTTCCAATTACATATGCTAAAAGATATTAAAGTGAAGGAATAAAATAAGAATACTGAATATGAATATGAGATTTGAGTTGGAAAGAAGGATCAAATCACATGCTCCAAATTTACAAAGCAAGGAAATGTCATCATCTCCCCCAACTCCCACCTTTGATTCTCTTTATCTTTTCTTTTATCTTCACTATATTTATGTATATACATATCAGTTTTGTTATTTATATGGAATAATAGCATCCTCATTTCATCATTACTCATTTTATTGGGATAGTTTGGTCTCATGTCTTCATCCTCAAGTTTGGCATATACATGTTGCGTCCATAAATTCTAAAAAGCTGCCATAAATACAAAAATCGGTCACAATACTTAAAATAAATTCAAAGTAAGATAAAAATATATTTCCATGAACAAAAAAACTTTGTTAAAATGCGGACGGAAAGAGTGATACATATAAATATCACACCACGGGGATGTGTTTTCGAACTGAAGTTATAACTACCTTGGGCCTCTAAGTGATGATAAAGATCCTACATAGGCCTGTTAAATTTATGGATTCAAACTCCAACGTTTGTACATTGCCTTTTTGGCAACAATAAATCTTGGATTTAAAATTGAGAATTCAACAAAAGAAACCTCTAACTTTGTACGAATTCCAAAAAAAACCATAAACTTGTGGGATGATAAAAAAAACACAAAAACGTTCATTGACTTTAAAATTTATTAACAATATTTTCATCAACTTGCCAATTTAACAGGAAAATTTGACGTTTGAAAATAAATACAAGTAGATCATTGGATTCAAACTTTAGTTGGTTGAGTCAAATGACAATCTATTTTACCAATAGGCTAGTGATACATTCAATTGACTTACTAACACATTTACTTTTATTTGGTACTCATTGATTATAAAAAATTCTCTAAAAACTTAAAAAATATTTAGAATTCTAAAATTTGAAAAATAGAGAAATTTTTTATAACATTATTTTGAAATTAAAAATAAAATTTAATTTTTATTAAAAATTATAAATCTTCCAAAATTTTCATTTTTTTTTTAAATTCCAAAAAATTGAAAAATTCAAAGAAAATGCAAAAAAATTAAAGTTACAATTATCAGCTAAAAATTAAAATCGCACTCAGTTTTTAGCAATTTTTTTTAAATGATAATTTTGGAATATTTTGATTTTTTAAAGAAAATAAAATTTTATGTTTAATTTTAATTTCAAAATTAATTTAATAAAATTTTCTTTATTTTTTCAATTTTTTAGAATTTAAAGATCTTTTAAGTTTTTAGATAATTTTTTTATATTCAATCAGTACCAAATAAAATTAAATATGTTAGTAAATCCATTGAAAGTGTCACTAGTCTAGTGGTAAATTTTTTTTGCCTTTTGACCCAACCAACTTTAGGTCAAATCTAGGGTCTACTTGTTTTTATTTTCAAGTCATGTAAAACGACGTCGTTTCATCTCATTTGAAAACGACGTCGTTTCACTTAACGCCAACATTTAATGTCTAGTTAACAAAATGTAGATTCAAGGTGTATTAATATGGTCAGTCAATCTTGAGTTGATTACTGAACTAATAAAGTCAACGGAAGTAAAGAATTTTTTTTGGCAATTCGTGTTTTTTTCTGCCAAATTCCCATTTAAACTTAGCATTTCTACGGATTTTTTCTTAATTACTAGTAGGTTTTAGACCAAAGCCTTTGATTTTATTATCAAACAATATTAAAAGCCCTTAATCCTCAAAGGAGAGGCATGCCACGTCAATTAAAAAAATCATCCAATCATAGATCTTCAAACAGCCAGCTCACACATGCTTTTATTCTACAGAATAAGCGGGTTCTCTTCGTCGGCATCGTTTCGTATTTCTGCAAATCGTCGTTATCAGATATCACTCTGCATCTACAATACCANATCAAACAATATTAAAAGCCCTTAATCCTCAAAGGAGAGGCATGCCACGTCAATTAAAAAAATCATCCAATCATAGATCTTCAAACAGCCAGCTCACACATGCTTTTATTCTACAGAATAAGCGGGTTCTCTTCGTCGGCATCGTTTCGTATTTCTGCAAATCGTCGTTATCAGATATCACTCTGCATCTACAATACCATTTCATCTTTTATAGACACCAAACACATTGCATCACTTGGAAACCTTTTTCGTAAAATCCTAAATCTCCATAACGAAACAAAGTTCGTCCGTAGCCTCTCTCTCTCTCAGTCACGACAAAGCAAATCAAGATGTTGGGGAGGAACGTTAGGTTAAGAAAAGAGTATCTCTACAGGAAGAACTTGGAAGGTGATGAGCGTAAGCTCTATGAGAAGAAGCGCAAGATAAGAGAAGCCCTCCAAGGTTTGACTGACTCGTTAACAATCTCTCTATTAAGGTTTCTCTCACTGTTTATTGATTTCGATGCCTTTGTTTATGTGTAAACAGAAGGGAAGCCGATTCCTACAGAGCTTGGTAAGGAGGAGGCGAAACTTCGACAAGAGATTGATCTAGAAGATCAAAACACTGCCAGTAATAATTCTATTTGTGTCGTGGTCTTCTTTTTTATACATAAGAGGTGTTTTTCCTATGTTGATAATTGATAATATGCATTGGCATTTGCGTTACTGGATATCATAGCTTGCAAAGTGAGGATGATCTCAAGAAGTCTTTGATAGATGACTTATGTTCCATGTTTATATTCCAATAGACTTTCAAGGCCGTATTTCTTACCACAAGTTTGTGTCTTCATCCTTTCTCCAATTTGTGAAAACTGCTGTGAATTTCTTTTCTCAAAACTTTTCATTTGCAGCTGCAATTACATTTAATTACGTGATGAAAGTTTGGTCAAAGGTTTGAAAGTCCTTCACAAAACTGAGCTATGATTATCATATGATTCTGCATAAGTACAT